CGTGTTTTAAAATCTTGAGGGGAAGCCCAAAAGGAAAAACTCAAAGAGGACAATATCTACTGGCGGTGGAGTTGGGCCGATACAGATATGTTCCATGTATGAAATAATGTCACGTGGGTCATGACATGGTAAATACCAACAGTTTTTTTATACAAGAATACTTGTCCATGAATGAAGTTATCTTGTTCTACGCCACAAAAGCACCCTTTAAATTCTTAGGGAATGTTTAGATCATGATTTGAATAAGCCTGAGTCCGTGTAGCTTGCAAAATTGGTGTTGAAATTTTGAGTTGTGGTTTGAGATTCATAAACTTAGGTGTATAAACATAGCACCAACTTCATGAACTCGAGTTATATAAACAACATTAAAAGACTAAATTACTGAAGTTTGAGTAGCTTAGGAGGGTGTGAATGCTCTTGGGATCATGACATGCGTGCTTCATTCTTTGTAGATAATTGACAGTGCTTCCCATATATTTATGGCTTCCTTTGGCCAATTATTGGTGGAGATGACAAAAGAGAAGAGCATGCCCTAAGAAAATGTTAGGAGCAGACTGCTGAGCCATGTGGTTGCCTTGTGACCTTCATCATCGTTTTGGCATAACCCTCTCTCTCTCTCTCTCTCTCTTTCTCTTAACTTTTTTTAGGAAAATTTATCTTCTCTAGATGACAAGTTCTCATGTCATTTGCAGATAACGAGAATTCAGCAATATCCATAAAGTTGGCTCGGAAAAACCAGGTATGCTTTTACAACTTTTCGAAAAAATTTAGATAAGTTTTGTTCAAATTGAGTCTGTGTTGGAAGATTAATGCTCAAAAACATAAACATAAACTTGGTTAATACTAGAAATCTGATAGCAAATTTGGAGATAAAAATGAATAAGTTGGCATTATCTGAACCCCGATTGTAACAGACCAAGCCCACCGCCAGTACATACTGTCTTTTTTGAACTTTTCCTTTCAGGCTTCCCCTCAAAGTTTTAAAAACGTGTCTATTAAGGAGAGGTTTCCACACCCTTAGAAAGAATGTTTTGTTCTTCTCCCCAGTTGACAATCCACTCCCCTTTGGGGTCCAACATCCTCGCTGGTACTCATTCCACTTTCCTTTAGGGCCCAGCGTCCTTGCTGGCACACCGCCTCGTGTCCATTTCCTTTCGGAGTCAGCCTCCTCGTTGGCACATCGCCCGGTATTTGCCTTGATATCATTTGTAACTGCTTAAGCCCACCGCTAGCATATATTGTCCTCTTTGGATTTTTTCTTTCGAGCTTCCTTCAAGGTTTTTAAAACATGTCTGTTAGGGAGAGGTTTCCACACTCTGATAAAGAATGTTTCGTTCTTCTCCCCAACTAATGTGGGATCTCACATGGGTTGTGCAGTCAAATTAAATTACGATCTTTGAGACGTTAGAATATGAATAAAGCTTCACATCAATTACAGATGGAAAAGATCGTAAATATATATTGATTTACTTATCTAGAATCATTCGAAAAAACAAGAGTGCAAAGTTATTGCCTCTAGAAGCTAATCAAATTCATAAACATATCGAGATACGACAGACAAGAAATTTCACATCAACTAAAAGTAGATTGAGTAAATAGAGTCCACAAACATCCTACCTATACTCGCCTTCAACACCATAATTCAGGGTATCTTGATATACTAACCATACCCTAAAGATTATGTTGATCACATAAAGGAATATGGGTCGGGAAAAAAACTATACTCTTTCGAATCTCTCTTTGGCCTTATTATTTTTTATAGAAAGTGAATGCAACGAGAATGAGAATTTCAATCTACACTAACGATTTCATAGCTACTCTTTTCCCATTCCTCAACTTTATAATCATCACTAATCTCGTTAAGTATTTAAGTCGATAAATCTACAACGTTCCCACTAACGAGAATTCCTCCTAGCTAGCTAGCGTTTTTACTTTTTTTTTTACTTTTTTTTTTTTTTTTTTGAAAAGCCTAAATTAGCTAGAGTCGATATGGTTTTGATTAGGTATATTGATCAAAGAATATAAAACTCAAACAAAAAGAATAATATAATAATCAATCAAATGTAGAGCCGTCACCAACATTATAGACTTACATTATTTTATTAAAAGAGAACTCCATTGGCTGTATCTGTTTATGAATATCTCCATAAAATGCTTTCCATATTTTATTTTTCTTATTTTATATTCTCATTATTCTCTGCATAAAGGTGACAAAATAGAAAAACATGAATTATTTCCCCAATTATATATTAACTTATTCTCTAAGATATTTTTTTATGCCTTTCTTTATTTGTTTAAGCTTTTCAGATTTCCTCGAACGTTCTATTGCTTTCCTTATTTTCAATAATTTTAAATAATCAAACATTCTGATTGGCTATCCATCAAAACCCATATGGTTGAATCTTATAATGTTCAAACGATTTTAATTAATCATTGATTAATGTAAGTGTGACATCATATATTATGCAGCTGGTTTTATAATATAATCTTGTACTATGGGGATTTTTTTTTTTTTTTTTTGTAGGGCTGTTATTATTCTTTGGCTTACGTTTTTTTTATTAGGATGACGTGTAATATATTCCGAGTGCAAAATTTATATTTTTTTGAAGAACAATGTTGACTAGCTAGGGTATATATTCTTCTTCTTCTAGGTTCAATTGTGTGATAGAAGCTAAGAATGTTTTGGAGGGGGTGAGGGGACAAAGAAATGTTTAAAGGGGCTTGTCTAGAAAAGTTTTGGGATGTCTTTCTATTTTTGTTTTTGGAATTGTAGATACGACGATTTGTATAAATTGAAATTGTTATTTGTAGTGTAACAGCTTGAGTCTTCTACTAGCAGATATTGTCCGTTTTGATTTGTTATGTATCGTTGTTAGGCTTACGGCTTTAAAACACGTCGATTAGGGAGAGGTTTCTAGACCCTTGTAAGGAGTGTTTTGTTCTCCACTCCAACTGATGTGGGATCTCAAAATCCACCTCTCTTGGGTGTCCAGCGTTCTCCTTGGCACATCGTTCGATATCTAGCTCTGATACCATTTGTAACAGCTCAAGCCCACTGTTAGTAGATATTGTTCACTTTGATTCGTTATGTATTGTCGTCAAGCTCACGTTTTTAAAACACATTTGTTAGGGAGAAGTTTCTACACCCTTGTAAGGAGTGTTTCGTCTCCCTCTCCAATCGATGTGGGATCTCGATATCCACCCCCCTTGGAGGTCCAGCTTTCTCGCTGGCACATCGTCCGGTGTCTGGCTCTTATACCATTTGTAACAGCCCAGGCCCACTGCGAGCAGATATTGTTTGCTTTGACCCATTACTATCGCCGTCAAACTCACGGTTTTAAAACACATCTATTAGGGAGAGGTTTCTACACCCTTGTAAAGGGTGTTTCGTTTCCTTCTCCAACCGATGTGAGATCTCGAAATCCACCCCCTTGGGGGCCCATCATTCTCGCAGGCACACCGTCCAGTGTCTGGCTCTGATACTATTTGTAACAGCCCAAACCCATTACTAGCAAATATTGTTCGTTTTGACCCATTACATATCGCCGTCAGGCTCACGTTTTTAAAACACATATATTAGGGAGAGGTTTCTACACTCTTATAAGAGGTGTTTCGTTTCCCTCTCCAACCAATGTGGGATCTCGAAATCCACCCCCTTTGGGGACCCAACGTTCTCGTTGGCACACCATTCGGTGTCTAGCTCTAATACCATTTGTAACAGCTCAAGTCCACTGCTAACAAATATTGTTCGTTTTGGTCCGTTACGTATCGTCATCAACCTCACAGTTTTAAAATGCGTCTCTCGGGAAAAGGTATCTACACTTTATAAGGAGTGCTCTGTTCCCCTCTCCAACCGACGTAGAATCTTATATGCTCTTATCTTTACCGTCGTTGGTTTAAGTCTTGAAAGTGGTTTAGTTAATGGTTTGATTATGAATACTTGTTGGGCTCATAAAAATAAGTAAATAGGCGTAAAGTAGCCATTGAATTAATCATTTAAAGTAGCCAAATTTAATCTGAACTTCCAAATTGAATAAATGGATTAGATCCATTGCTAAAATAGTGGATTAGATTCATTATTAAAACACACCACTTACGCCCACGTAGGCCCCACCCATAATTACTGATTACTTCATCTAAACATATTTTAATTACCTAAAATTAATCAAATAAAAAAATATTAAAAAATTATATTGTGGTAAACATGATACATTTCTCTTATTTTAATTACAAAAAAATTATTAAAATAACATAAAGCTAATTTTATCTTTTATCCTATATTTTTTATAAAAAAAAAAATTAACCAAATTTAATTTAAAATTAAAACATTGATTTAGTTCTAGAAAAAAAATAGATATGGTTGATAAAAAGAATAAATAAATAAAAATATTAGCACGATAATGTGTGGAGGACCATGTGTCACGTAATTAAAGCCTCCTTAAAGTTTGTAAATCATAGTGTTTAGAGAGAAAAAATGATGCTTTGGAAATTTTTATTTATTTCTTAATATTAAATTAAATAAAGTTATATAATTAATTAATTAAAGTAGTTTTAGGTGTCGACTGCCAAAAGCCACAGCTGTGCGCCACTGTTGAGTCTTTTTCTTTTTTTTTTTATTTATTTTTTTTTAAGCTTTTGTTTGCCTTAATTTTTTTAAATAAAAATCTATTTATACCCTTAATTAAAACATTTTTAATGCATTGATTAACTTAGGATTATAAAAAAAATAATAATAAAACAATTTTAAAGATAATGAAATAAAATGGTCATGTGGAAATAAAAATTGAATGACCAAATATAAACCAAGTTGAAGTCTCCAAATAAAATATATATTTTAGCTTTAAAATAATATTTATTAATAAAAAGGTTAAAAAAATAAAAATAGCTGAAATAATAATCCTATAAAAATTGGTCACTTAAGATTGGCCCAAACCTTGGGCCCATATTAGAGCCCAATAACAACGGCCCATTAGGGCCTAAAGCCCATATTTGTTCCGGCGTCTATCGGTCATAAGGACTGTTCTGATTTCTGGATCTTCTTCTTCCCGAGAAAGTGGAGAATCCGGCGGTAAAGCTATCAAAATGGACGTTTTGGCTGTAATTGGAGTTTTGTTGCCATTTCCATACTATTACGTGTTATGGACACGGCCACAATTGTGGGTGAACTTGTGCGGAAAATGGTGCGAGCCTTCCAAATTGATGGCTCAGGTATCGGTTTTCCTCAAGCTGCTTCAGATCCTCTCCATCCTCCATGTCTCCTCCTTCTCGTGGCCGCCGCCTCTCTACTTCTGGCCTCTCATGGCCTTCGGACAGTTCTTGAACTTCAGGTCTCTATCTCTCTCTCTCTTCCTTTCTCTCTGATGTTATTTGCGATCTGGAGGTAGAAGTGACAATTTATTAGTGGTTTTTGTTTGCTTAATATGAAAGTGATAAAAGACGTTAAATCTCGAGAAAATGTGGTTGTTAAGATTGAATTTAATGCCTATTGGTTTTGGAGATGATGATTAGCATTCTGAAATTGTGAATTTGGGATGAGTTTTGAGGAATTTTAAGTTTGGGATGTCTTTTGAGCAGTGTGTAGAAAGTAAAAGCATTTGAAGTAAAAGTGTCTTTAGAATTTTAAATGGAGATTCTAAAGGTGTCCCAAATTCATTGTAACTTGAGTTGATTTTGTTTCTTCATCAGGGAGAAGTGAAACTCTAATTCAGTACCTATTTTAAGTCTTGCCACTGTGGATCAGATCAATGACTTCGATACTCCAATTAACCATTCCTTGGATGTACATGTGAAAAGGTTATCTACCTTTTTTGGATAAGAATTGGTTGTAATGCACCAAAAGAAATTATTAGAGAGTGAAGCACTTGATGGGAGAGAGACCAGCTTGACCTAGAGATTTGAATGATCACAGACAAAAGATTAAGACAATTACGAAATTCTTTGTCAAAAGATGATTACAAAATTATTTAGTATAGGAAAGCCATAAAGAAACGTGAAGGTCAAGATTTTGCTCGCATTCTTTATTCTGGAAGGCCTTCCTCTTTCCCACACTTCCAATGAAATCAGAAAACATCTCAAGCTACTGGTCACATCCTATAGATGCCGAAATTCCTTATTGGGCAATTTGTGGAAGGACAATAGATGCATCCTACAGCCTATTTATGTTGGATGCATTGTTCGGGGTATCCTCTTTCCACAATAGGATTGCTACATTGTGCTTCCAAGTACCAATGATCTCATCCTTGCTATCCCTTTTTCAAGAATGCAACTTTGTTTTGTGTTTCTCTAAGAATGTTTTCCCTTTGGCCTTGAACAACTCTTGAGATCGTACAAAAAGTTAGTCCTTTCTGAAAATGCCATTTAGGGATTATCTGGGAAATTACCAACTTTTCAAGGATGTCGATATTGAAAGTGAAGAAACTTGGAATGCTTTTCACTTTATATTCGTTCTATAAAGTTGCCTATTAAAATTTTTGTAACTTTATGTGTGTGTGTGTTTGTATATATACGTATATTCTTTATTAATTCTAATTGGAGCTAATTTTTAATCCTCCACTAGTTTCATTTAAGTTGATGAGTCAAGCACCTAGTATATTTCTTGTGGTGTTAATGAAGACCTGTTTCCAATTAAAAAAAATAAGAAAGGAACTGAGGCGGACGGGTTTACAATCTAGAATATCAAGATTTGCCCCTATCAATTACATAGTGCAATTGTAAAAAGTGAAAACCTGTGGAGCTTGTTGCATCGAAGTGAGCATCTCAGCGATTCAAACTCTGTAGCTGAAAAACTATTTCCATGCCTAGGATTCTGTGTACCTTAAAGACGAAATTGATTGCAACTTAAGAGGATTAAGTACCTGAGGAATCGTTAAAGAATGTTCAATTTGATGATGTCGAACTTTATTTCCTCTCAGATCCTTTTTTGTTGATTTCAGAAATAGAAAAGTGATGCTTGGAATAGTCAAACAAGCTTTATAGAGACCATTTTCCCAGTACAATTGTCTCGTTTGGTTGTTAGTCTTCACAAAATACGCCACCATTTACTATTATTGGGATATCATAAAGTACACATAACTAGGCTTACTTGAATGTTCATTTCTTATGCTCATGTTTGCAAATTTGAAAACAAGATGATAGGCAGAAATCAAACTAGATCCAAATGAAAAATTACATTACTCGAGCACTTCAAGAAACTTGGACGGTGAGATCCCATATTGGTTGGAGAGGTGAAAGAAGCATTCCTTATGAGGGTGTGGAAATTTCTCCCTGACAGACACGTTTTAAAACCTTGAGGGGAAATTCGGAAGGAAAAGTCCAAAAAGGACTATATCTGCTAGCGGTGGACTTGAACTGTTACATGGACTCCCCATCCAAGAATAGACTAAGCATCAAAATCAGCTGCCTGAGTTTCCATTCAAAGCGAAGGAACTAAAGCACTAGTGCAAATCAAGATTGAAGGTTTAGGTCATTCATAACTGTTATGTAACTTCACTATTCCAGGCACTGCTGGTGGTTTATTTTTACAATGTTGCTGCAGTTTTGCAGACTTGATTCGCTAACTTGATTCGCTAAAGTTAAGTAATATTTTCTTTATCTTCTGCCATGCAACAGGGTCTACCAGTTACTCGGTGAAGCAGGTGTTTACTATGGAGTACGATTTGGGAAGAATATTCCGTGGGTAACAGAGTTTCCATTTGGATATATAAAAGATCCTCAGTACGTGGGAAGCATTTTGAGCCTTCTTGCTTGTCTTTCTTGGGTACCCTTGCAATATATTCTGCTCTGGACAATGGGATACGTCTTTATGATGCAAGTTGAATCCAAGGAAGATCTCACAACTCGAGCAAAGCCTCAAAGTTAAATTTGTGAGAGACTAATCTTGGAACAGCCAAACATTGGATCAACACGTGGTCTGTGGAGGCTGCTTCAAGCATCCGTTAATAACATCCCCAAAATCAAACCTCTTGAAGTTTTGAATGAAATCCCGGGTTGAGTTATAGATGATATCCTCGTCTTTATGATTTTGCCAATACTTTTGTAGAACTACTAGGAATAAGAATTTTCCACCGACTTTGTGGATTCCTCTTCATTATGATGCCAGTTCTTTTGGAAACTTGAAATCTAGAAAATTAGTCTACTTTCTTTGTGATTTACTTCAACAGCTTTGTTTTTGCAAGCGGGAACTTAACTCTTGACAACGTTTGTGCTACAAGAGGACTTTGTGGACCCTGTTCTTCACTTTACAGAATCCGAAATGAAAATCTTCGTTTTGAAACATTTGATGTTCGATCTCGAGACTTTTCTTTTAAAAGTTTTTTATGTGATTCAAGACAAGGGTGGCAAGATTTAAGCGCAAGATATGGTTGGTTGAATGGTTACCTTTTCAAATATTGTGGCTAGATTTGTTGCGTTTGTTGACTATGTTGGATGCTTGTCTTGTCTATTAGGATGCTAGGTTTAAAAGGTCATTTATTGGTTGCCCTCTTTTGACCATTTTTTTTGTTGTTTAAACTTTTAAAATTCATTTCTATCGAATTCATTCAATTGCTTCAAGAATTTCGTCATTACAGTTGGAAACAAGAACATCTCGAACGACCTCAAAACCATAAATCAATTACCCAATTTGAATCTCGTCCCTATTCGGATGAGAAAGTGACTTTACCAGTCATTTTTCCCTTATCTTTCTGACTCAACATCGAGTTACATCTATTTTTTCGGTACTTTTCTTCTAACATTTTTTTTTTTTCAAAAATCTCAAAACGATCTTCCCCATCTCCTAAAATCTGTCAAATCTTCTCTTCTTTCAATGTGTATTTACAGATTAATCTCAAAGAAAATACTCCCACTTTCTGAACTAGCTAATGTGGGAAAATCTTCCCCGAAATCGCCGCCGCCAGCGCCGCCGTGAAATTGGGGTCCTTCGTCAATGAAGACGCCATCTGTTCAACAAGAAACTGTTGCATTTCCGGCGAGTGAAATCTTGGGCTGGAGGTGGCTTTAGTTTCAGAGGGTGATTTGGGCTTTCTCGAGTCGAGGGGACTTGTCGGCGCCGCTGGAGTTAGGCCGACGCAGCGAGCAGCAGCAGTGCCGGAGGTGGCTTCCATCGGAGAAGATTGTGGATGGTTGTGTTCACCTTCGTACGTAGCTACCAGAATCGACTGATCTTCTACACTTCTCTGAACCTGCAAATTCATTCCAATCAGCCAAAAAATCCTTCAAGTTCGAACAATGCTTTGAATTCAAAAATTTACCTTTTTTTTGACAGGGCAGCTCGGAGCAAAAGAACACTTGAAATAAGCTCGAGGACAAGGATTATCTCTAGTGACCTTCTGGCCATATTTCCGCCATTGATATCCATCTTTAACAACCTGCAAAATCCAACAGGTAAGTTTCATACAAGAACCCCATCTTTCATTACAAAATTTGGTTCTTTTTCTGTGTAAAAACTCACCAAATTTGAATCAGAAGCACCAATTTTGACTTGAACTCGAGTGGTTTTAGAAGATTTGTTAATGGTTTCCTGTTTTGGCTTCTTGTAAGACTCTTCATCAGTTGAACTACTCTCAGAATTCCCATTAATTCCAACCATATTATTATTGTTACTACTCTCAGATTTCCTCTTCTTCGAACAAAAAACTTCCTTTTCTCCATTTTTGTTCATTTGATCCACCATATGACCTCTCAAAGTGTTGTAATTTTCACACACAACAGTCAACATTTCAGTTAATTTCTTGTTCTCTGCACTCACTCTCTTCAGTTCCTCCATTAAAGCACCAGTCTGAGATCAAAAACAACAAACCCATCATCAAAATCATCCCAAAAATAGCATTAAAAAGAAACCCAAAATCTCTACCAAGAAACTGAAATCAATACCTCTTCTTTGACAGAAACCTTCTCATGATCCAAATAATTCCTCTCCTTCTGCAAAAACAAAAAGAAACCCAATTCAGAAAACGAAAAACCCATTTTGAGTATAAACAAGGACAGAGCTTGAGGCTGTCTCACTCACCGTCACCGGAGCTTCGCCGGAGAATCTTAAAGGATGAAGATTGAGATCCAGAGAAGTGTCAACAGAATCCAACCAAGAGGAATAAGAAGAAGCCATAGGCAAGGAAGAAACACCAAAAACCCAAGTCAAAAAACAAGAAAAGGTTCGATTTTTCCTCTGTTTGAGGGAGACCCAGAAGTTATTTCACAGTGCAAAAGCAATTCCAAGAGGCAATAGAGAGAAAGGAGAGAATATATAGAGGTGGGTCGGAGAGAAAGAGAGAGGAAAGTCGATGGAAAGAGAGAGAAATAGGATAAAACAAGCTGGCAATGACAATTTGAAGGAAAACTCATGGTGAGGTTCTGATTTGGTGGGCGCTGCTTCTGCCTGTTGAGCTAGTTGGGGCTTCAAAGTCAAGCAAAACCTGTGCTTCATCGTTGAATTTAAATTGTAATTAATGTTTTTGTGGGGTCCATTTAGGGTTTTTTATTTATTGCCCTCACATTTCTTTACGACATTAAAAAAATATATATATCTGTATTTCTCTAATTCTCTCAAATTTAATTTTCTTTGTGTAATAAAATTAGAAATTATGACCAATTGAGTCTTCTTATTAATACACTTTTGGTTGATAACCAACGACGGATTCAATTTCAAATATTTGACGGTTGACATTTTTTTTAATTACCAACTTGGGGTTGACTAATTAATTTGGTCAACAAAAACTATCCACTTGGTTGACAATTAATATTGGTCAATCTATTTATTTTCTTCCTTTTTCTTCCAAAAATAAAACCATGAGCTTAATCAAATTTAATGAAATTCGTGTTGAAAATATGAACAATGTCTAGTATTAATTAGAAATGGATAATATACCTAATAACAATCTCTAATTTAAATTTTAATTATTACATTTATAATTTAATATTCATAAAACTCAATTCATAATCTAATTAGATCAAAATAAAAAAAAAAGTATAACAAAATTTGAAATAGAAATATTAAAAAGAAAAAAAAATGAAATTAGGAAGAGATATGTTGACCAGATATCAGTCTCCAGCTATTGTCTAAGAGACAGATATCCAACTGGAGCCCTCTTTTCCGCACGTGTTCAAAATATTTCCCACGCGTCATTTTAATTATTTAAAAAACAAATAAAATAGCCAATCAAATTTTTAAAAAAATATAATAATAATAAATTTCTTGGTAGGGCTGTCTCAAGACTTCCACACGGCTTCAGTGGACACGGTATAGTCACGTGACCACATCAGTTTATTTCTATTTTATTGTTGTCTTGACATCGACATTTGTAACGAGCCACGGAGTAAGAACCTTCCCCAAATAAATTGACATTTTTATTATTTCATATAAACATTTAATAAAATATATCTTATTTATAGATGTAAAATATTTATTTATTAACTTTAAAATATTCATTTTATCAATATTTTCATAAAAGAATTTAAGATATTAAAATTTTTAAGATCAAATATAATATTTAAGTGTATTAAATTGGCTAGTTGGGCCCACCAAGGCAATATTATTAAAGAGGGCATGAATTCCACATTTTAAACCTTTACCTTATTTTTATTTTTATTTTTTTGTTAATTATTATTCTTTTTCCATTTAGATTCATCCCCTTCCCATAATAAATCCAAAAAATAGTTGTTTTTTTTTTCATTAATATCCAAATTTAGAGATCCTAAATTTAAATAATTTGACTTATTAGCAAAATAATATATATTAATTAGTGGATCAAAATGCACATTTTAAATAATTTTTTTATTTTGTCCCTTTATTATTCTCTTTGATTGTACTCATAATATAGTCGGTTATCGTATTTTAAAAAAATATATATATTCCATTTGACATTTTTAAAATTTGTAAAGGATTTACCTATAATATTTATTTGGATATATTTCATTCTAATAAATATAAACTATTTTAGAAATTTTATTTTGTTTAGAATTTAACGGTAGAGGTAATTATTTTAATTAAATAGTAATACCGGATAATAAAATAATTATTAATTATAATAATCCACATCAGACCGACACAAAAATTTGAAAGTGGAGAGACAGTGGGCGGGATCTGCCCGTCTACCAACGTGGACTTTTTTTTTCTTTCTTTTAATATTTTTTTTTATTTTAAGCTTTATAAGACAGTGAAATAAGAATATTATTTGGGCGTTTTATAAGTTAATTGTTAGTATATAATAATGAATTAATTGTTAATTGTGGAAATTTCTGGTATTAAAGCAAAAACAAAACGGGGAAAAAACGGCGTCGCATTGGCATGGAAATGGATAATTAGCCTTTGGTAGAAACAACACCAAGACTTGACTTTGACTTTTAACCCTAAATTTTCACACCTTTTCAACACCGTCACACCTTTTAAACCATCTGATTTTGTAGCCAACCCATTTCATTATTATTTTATTATTCTATTGTTTTTCCTTTTAAATAATAAATTATACCAAAAAAAAAAAACATAAAAATTAAGTCCCGTGTTTAGACATGTCATTTGGTTTAAAATCAAACCCGGATGATTAGAGGTCTCCAGTGGAACTATTGAATTCTTCACCGTCATTATTGAAATAGAAAAAAACGTGAATTCTCTCTATCTAATAAACACGGAAAAAGTTGGATAACGCTTGGGTCATTGACTTTCGGTGCACGATTGGAAAGAGCGTTAATTGTGAATAAAATAAAATTAAACTCGAGAATTAATTAAATTAATTAATTAGATGAAGGAGTAATGAAGAAAATTTTGGAAGTGCCAAACAAGACCCAACACTGCAACACGTGGGATTGACTTGACTGGACCGACGAGATTTAGATTTTTTTTTTTTTTAATAAAAAATAATAATTTAAAATGCTGGATTACCTGTCAAAACAAAGCTCCACAATATGACGTCATGCATGAGATAATTATTTAAACAAAGTCTTGCACATTTGGAATGAGAATATTCATCCATATCCATCCACGTAATATATTACGTGGCTCGCCACGTCACCCTTCCTATTTTTAATAATTCATTGTGAAATCCAATGGCTACTTGGCTTCATTTCATTTTTATTTTTTTTAATATAATGTCACCAACAATAAAATTCATGCATTCATACATGTTGACATACTTTGAATAAAAGAAATTTAAATAACGTT